GTGTGGGGTGGGGTGGGGTTTGGGTGTGGTGGGTGTGGGTGTGGGGTGGGGTTTGGGTGTGGGTGTGGGTCTGACCCACACCCACACCCCTAACAATACCTGTTACACAATAAATTGGAATAATTATAGCTGTTGGATAATTTCCAACAATAACTATAATCATTTTCATGCATTGCTCGAGAATTTGATGGTTTTATTTTCCCTCCTGTTGCTACATCAATTATCATAAGTATTGCTTTAAATAAAGCAAAACTAAATATTGATATTGATAAAACAGTTCGTGTTGACCAACGTTTTATTAATGATGCTATTAACATCGATCCAATACGTTGACATGCTTGATTAAGACCAACTAATAAACCGACTTTTTCAAATGTTCGTGCTGCAATACTACTATTGAATGCATCTCGATCATAACGATTTGCTGCTAAACTAGCAATTGATCCATTAAATGCTTCTAATCCAAATTTACATAACATTATTCCAAATATATAAATAAATATATTTCGTTTTTCTTCAGAAGAATATAAATTCTATATGTTCTTAGTTTGATTTTGTTCACTAAAAATAAAATGATTTTTTTTTAAAGATTGATTTAAATAAGTTGAGAGATGAGATAAATTCATCAGTGAATTTACTTCGAGCATGTCAGTTTAGCTTTGATTTTATATTAAAATTTAAACGTTTTTTTTATGAATCGAAAATTTCCAAAAACAAAAATTATTAAATAATGATTTGGGGTGTGGGTGTGTGAATGCGGGTGTGTGGTGTGGATGTGCGTGTGGGTGTTGTTGTGTATCTTCTATTCTCTAAGACCCACACACCTACACCCACACCCACACCCACACCAACACCCACACCCACATCCACACCCACACCCACACCCACACCCACACCCACACCCACTCCCACACCCACACCCACACCCACACCCACACCCACACCCACACCCACACCCTATCAATTTTCTAAACCCTTTTTAAGGGTTTTGGAAGCCTCAGAAACCCTTAAAAGGTTGAGGATGTCGATAACAAACGATAAAAGGGTTTATCAATAAACGGTGAAGCGTTTAGTAATTTACTAAACCCTATTTATAGGGTTTATTATTCTACGAATTTTTTTACAGTGTATTCGCTTGGATTACAAAAAAAGAAGTGAGTTATTTGCTGCTGCCTGCTTTGATGCACGTAAATAGTATGTAACGGTTATCTGGTCTTTAGACTAGTTCTTCCTGTAGTCTATCACATGCTGAAAATCTTTATAAATTATCTTCGAGTATGTTGAATCTTTTCGTTTTACATCATCAAAACTTAGTGATATCCTGTACAGAGATGCAGAATCTACCAGTGTGCGGGAACACGCATTTTGGGAAAATTTTTGGTTTCTGGGGAAAATTTTTTGAGCATTACAATGTAAGGATGTGTTTTGTTGTTTTCCTAGGCAGGAAAATTTTCGAAAAAATTTCCTCGTTCGTGCAAACTTGATCATTTCACCGGCAGATTCTGCACCTCTGACTCTATATGTACCTATGTGAAATTATTGTTTTTGTTACTATCTTCGAAACGTAACAAGATATGTTGATATTCAAATCCATTTGAAATGGATACTAATCAATATATTCTTTTAAATATCCTGACTCTTTGATGAGTTTCGCGATCAAAATGATCTAAATGATTTTGATGACTTTGAATTCAAAGAAGATCATAAGTCAGTTGTTTCCCCCTTGATTTTCATGACTTCCGTGATCTAAATGATCTAAAATGATCTGCATAACTTTAATTCATAAAAGTCAGTTATTTTCCTCTTGAATGTTGCTCTATTGGTAAAAAAAAAGTTGAAAAACTAATTTTCATTTTTCATTTTGGAAATCTGAACATGAGGATGCCTTCATTACACTCCTTACTGTATCCACTTTGGTTTTAAATGTAAGATAGTTATCTCATGTGACATTTTTACTCTTTTGTACGAAAAACAAAATTTCTAATCCTGATATTTTAACTAATAGTTGACCACGACGAGTGGATAAAATGATCAAATTTTGGTCGCAGTAAGAAAGTTATGCTTCAAACAAATCAAAAAATCTTGCGGGATGGTGCGTGTGTAGGTTGTGACTATGCTGATTTTAATGTGTTTGTGAGTGTAGTATTGTTTCTTCATCAACACTTTCACCTACACACTCTTTTCGTTTTCGTCGAAAACAGCAATATTGATCTTCCTTGTTTCTTTAGCTAATCCATCCATCAAAACAATCATTCAAATGCTATATACAGCTTTTTAACTATTTAAAAGAAAAATTTACTCCAAGCATAAATTCAGAGAATGAAAGAAAAATATGCGCTTTCCTTCCAAGAAACATTTAAATCACTTTAAAGTTTTTTCGTTGACAGCAATATTTAAACAGTGTACACCTGTTAAACAACCAAGTGAAGTTTTGCCACTTATTTTAACGCTTTTTCTAGCTCTCTGTACACCAAAATTTTATGCAGCAAGTACCCTGTCAAGTGAATAATGATAAAATGGTCATTAAAATGACCATTTTTCCATTGCTCAATCATTTTGGCCATTATCATGTATGGTTTCTAGTGAATAATGAAAAAATAGTCATTAAAATGCATTTTTGATATATAAAACAAATATTAGGACCATTTATTATAAGCTGACTCTATTTGTTTAATTTTTAAGCTAATGCAGAAACTCTTGAATTTTTAGAAATTATATGATAATACGAATGCCTAATTTTAGATATTTATTTTCTATCATAATATATGCTTAAGAACATTCTTTCAAATTAGAATATTGATAAAAGATAAAAGTATTTAATAATGATGGATCTTCTTTGAATATTGGTCGAAAAGCAACTTTTTTTGAAATTTGATATGGTTGAATAATAACTGTAAAATCAGATATGACACTGCCTTGTAAAATATTTTTGCACATCAAAGTTCTTCCACCGATGTCGAGAGTATCAGCTGTTGAAGTAATTTTAACTTTATTTAGAACTAGACAGATATCATCTCTATCAATTTAGTTTTTTTAGTTATCAATTTCTTCATTTAACGATTCCATTTAAAACAAACACTATAGAATGAGATATGCCTGTCAAGGATAAACAGTCATGTATTTCAATAATTTTCTTTTTTTTATACAAGTGGAAAGCACATTATTTTTATTTTGCAACCAATTCACGCTGAAAAATAGTAACCTTTAAATCACAGAATTAAATTTGCACCAATAAAAAATTTTATTAGATATTATAAATATTCAAGTTACTTTTCTCTTATGAAATCACTTCCATTGTCATCAGTAGCCTCTATATTCGATATTTTATAATTCGTTCATTCCCATTGGTTGCCTTTAGTCTTTGTCTTGAAAGAAAGAATTGATCAAATATATGAGAATGCATGATATCGAATTCATTGATTTTACTCAATATGTTAGAAGGATGTTGTTTCTCCTTTTCATGATGGAAACAACCAAATAAACTTTCTATTAAGTTTGCATCACTAATATAAAATTTAATGCATAATATTTTCGTGTATAAGTGTTTCTATAATTTTCAAATGACTTGACTCAAACTCTTATATTAGCTATGATTCAGACAGGCATTAACCTATCTTTTTTTTATCAGTATTCTTTCGAATTTTTGGGACTTCCTTGTGAGTTCTCTTATCCTCATCTCTATTGCTGTTTCTTACATGTAAAGAAAATTGCTCCACTTAATATCGTTTTCTTACTCGAGATTAAATAAAATACGGCTAGCTCAAATAAAAAATAATCAAATTGCTACATATTTCGATTTTTCTAGAATCCAACTGATTCAGTTTTCCTTCACACAAAACTTTGATATCATATAGTTCACTAGTCGAGCATAATGAATGTCTTCTACCTGTCAGTAAATTCTCCTTATCCCAAGTATTTTTTTGGAAAGTTTCATGTTCACTTTATGCACCAGTTCTAAAATTTTTTATAGATAGGAGGATATCCTGCCTTACACTAGCCAAATGAGAAGATCAATAGATTATGAGTATATTTTGCATGGACAACTTTTATTTCAGTTTTTCGATTTCGTTTTTCTCAGTAACTAAATGTTTATATGCTTGAATTATCTTTAATATATACCTGTTTTATCCATATTATATGTAAGAGGACAAGAGATATAACGAAGGGTAGAAAACGGTTAATTGTATTCTAACATGGTTGCGTCGCATATTATTCACCAAAGAAGGTGTAATTTTTGAAATATAAGTAATTTCAATACTAAGAAAAAATTATTTTTCATCTGAGCTAGTTGCGATATACTTTTGAACTGATTACAACTTCGCTAACATAACTTCTATATCATAAACCATTTTTTTTCATCGTTTCACATCATTATTATATTTTTTATGCCCTAATAATTGTTCAGTTTATGAGTAGGAGTGAACATGTAGAAAGAAGTCGATAAGTGAATTTTTCCCAGTTTACGCCAAAAAAACATTTTAATCTAGCCTTGCTGACTTTTTGTATAATTACCTTTTGAGCAGATCCTCACGACCAATTTTTTGTTAATATAGTTCAACTCTGCCTTTTTCTCACGTAGAAAAATTAAAAAGAATTCTGTTGTGTCGTGCAACTAAATATGCTTTTGTAGACGAAAACGTTGTTCTAATCAAATGTTATAAAGCTCAAATTGTCAGATAAGCAGAGCAGCTGATTTGATACTCTAAAATCTTTGACATTTTATAAGAGCAAATTTGTATTTTTTCTCGTCTAGAAGAACATGTTTAGTTGTAAGACGCGACAGAATCTTTTTTAATCTCTTATTTTTTCATGTGAAGAAGGTCAAAGTTGAACTCTATTAGCCAAGATTCGGTCTTGAAGATGTGCCTAAAAAAGTAATTACACAAAACATTAGGAGGACTAGATTTAAATTATTTCTTGTGACATAAAACAAAGAACTATTACGACAGTAAAAGATAATAATAATTATGTTAAACAACGACAAGTAATTGGTTAATGTGATACCCTAGTCGACTTTCCCTAATGAAATCCCCAGGGAGTCCCTACAAATTGTGAAATTCCTGAGAAGTCCGTTACGGGACTCACCTGGGAGTTAATCAAAAACCCAGCAAATTTGCTGCAGGAAGTTTTTTGGGAATCCTTGAGGAATCCCTAGGGACTCCTCAAATGATCGTCCAGAGATTCCTCGAGGACTCTCAAAGAACTCTCTCCAGCAAAATTGCTGGGTTTTTGATTGACTCCCAGGTGAGTATCGTAACGGACTTCTCAGGAATTTCACAATTTGTAGGGACTCCCTGGGGATTTTATTAGGGAAAGTCGACTAGGGTAAGGATTAAAATGTTACTGGTGAAATCATTTTCATGAAGTCAAAAATAATCATTATAATGGATCCCAGAACATGCATTTTTTGGCATTATTTGTGACTTTTTGACACCATTATTTTTTGTACAATTCAACTGCATTTTAATGCCATTTTTTC